AGGTGTCAATCCATATCTGCCAAGTGACCCTATGTTGGAGGAACAGTCCCTATTCTGCTCTGTGTCAGTGTGTATCAGGAACCCTTAGGACAGGTGTCAATCCATATCTGCCAAGTGACCCGATGTAAGGGGACCAGTCCCTATTCTGCTCTGTGTCAGTGTGTATCAGGGAACCTTAGGACAGGTGTCAATCCATATCTGCCAAGTGACCCGATGTAGGGGGAACAGTCCCTATTCTGCTCTGTGTCCGTGTGCATCAGGGGCTCTGAGGACAGGTGTCAACCATATGTCAAGGTGTCAATATGTCAGGTGTCAATATGTCATATGTCAGGTGTCAATCCATATTGATTGTGATTTAGGAATGTTAGGTGATTTCTGCCCTTTATGGATTAAAACCAGACTCTGTATCAACTGTGTAATTTTCCATGGGAGTTTTGCCATGGATCCCCCTCCGGCATGCCACAGTCAGGTGTTAGTCCCCTTGAAACAACTTTTCCATCCCTATTGTGGCCAGAAAGAGTCCCTGTGTGTTTTAAAATTCGCCTCCCCATTGAAGTCAATGGCGTTTCGGGCGGTTCGCCGGTTCGCGAACATTTGCGGAAGTTCGCGTTCGCCGTTCGCGAACCGAAAATTTCGGGTTCGCGACATCACTACATATAACATATCATATCATAATACCAAACTTTACAATAGCCGAACTTAAATGATACTGGGACATACTGGATTGACAATCATTATACCATCAGTGGTCATAGGTAAGTGGTATGCCATATATATCTGTCACATAATGCATATATTAACCCATTAATTATCTAGACATAAAAATGAGGAAACTATGAATACCGCTAGTCTGACATTCCATAACAAAATATCTGAATACAACTAAATCTTAAGGGCAATTTACTCTAACATACCCCAACTTGCTTAGATCTTATATGGGTCCTAATTAAAAAAAAAAAAAAAGGACAGAAAGTGTCCCCAATGGGGGCTTCAATGAGTGACCCAAAAGCACTGTACTCCAAAAAAAATGATTGCTATCTAATCAAATAGAACGATGCTTGAAATGATGAACTGCTGCTGGTGAACGCGGTGTGATTCTGTATTCTGCTGTGAAGATCTGTCTACAGAAGCAAACCGCGTTCACCAGCAGCAGTTCATCATTTCACGCAGGACCTTTGGTAACAACTATAACCGGAATTGTCCGTTCTTCATGTCTCGCGAAGTGAGGCTCCTGTACGGGACGTGCACTCAGACCAACGTTGTCCTCACCGGCAGCCGGAATACAGATCATCTGCTAACGTAATCCAAATCCATCCTCAAATAATTCGAAGGTCCTTGCTGTCATTTGACTCATACAAGTCTGGTAATGCACTTAAGAACTATTTCTGACCTGTATTTTTGAACTTTTAACCACCTTTTTTTTTTATTGTGAAATAAACTGGCATTTTTTGATTAATATATCCAGTTTTTATTGCTTCAGTCTACAGCGATACATTGTTTATATCGCCAAAGCATGTGCTGTGTTGCTTAAACATTTAGATACTTTTATCTTTGATATTACAAAGTATGTTATTTGGAACAAGCATCATCTACCTCACACTATTTTGGGGATTGAGATACCTGTTCTATACATTTTTGCTGCATACTCATTCAGGAGTTCAGTTTATTTCTCTTACTACGTTTTATTTCTATCCTCTTTTTACATTCTGTTTTATTTTATTATTATTATTTTTTCTCTTTATATTTATCCCCCCTTTTTTTTCTTTTTCTTCCTACCTCACTTTATTCATTTCCTCTTTTCATTTATCTGTTTTTTATCCATGATCCCTTATTGCATTTAAAGGGACACCGCAAATATTAAGCATTTAAAGGCACAGCACATATCAAATTTTACTTATTTTATTCACCTATTTTATTCCATAATTTTGTTCTATTGTGACTACCCATACATAGTACTTTAGCCATTAGGCACTAGCTAGCTCCTGGAGTTTGTACTCTACATTCTAGAGCGGGGCTGTCCAACCTGCGGGCCCCCAGATGTTGCTGAACTCCAACTCCCACGATTCCCTGGCTATATGTTTAATTGAAAGAATCATGGGAGTTATAGTTCAGCAACATCTGGGGGGCCGCAGGTTGGACAGCCCTGTTCTAGAGTGTTTCTAACTTGTCTTTAACATAGGTTTCTAGTGAATCACTATTTTTTCCAGTTTTGAGCAGCTTAGTGCCAGTCTGTCTCCCTCTCCCCTGTGTGTTACATTAGGTACACCAGAATATTTTTAGTTATGATACTGGACCTATGATTCCTGATTCATTTCCTCAACAGTAAGTCAGTCTTCCCAACGAAGGCCAAACAACAGGGACACAACAGTTTAACCCCTTAAGGACACATGACAAGTGTGCCATGTCATGATTCCCTTTTATTCCAGAAGTTTGGTCCTTAAGGGGTTAAAAACCATAAAATTGCTTGTGCACATTATATGATGTATATGGTAGCTTTGTCCCATATGTGGATGTGTAAATGTTTTCCCTGGAATCATATGTAACACGTCCCAGACAACAATAACAACCTAAATTCTTTGGTGTTTTATCCTTGGAATAACAATGTACTGGGTCTGTGTTCACTTATAGATCCCTCAAGTTCTTATTCCTTATGTAACATAACATAAGGAGCTCATGAAATTCCAGAGGTAGCATTACATAATTTCTCAGGACCCTCCAATTATCATGTATAATTTGTTTAAATTTCAAGGATGCTGTGGTATAGGTAGTAGGGAATACCAACCTTTTCTTGGAAGGGAACCTGCTGTAGCCAAGCATTTGTGTAAAGCTTTCCGAAGTACATAATTGTTGTATCCACGTAGGCAGAATTTGGCCTACATTAGGCTTAGTTGGTCTTGGGCTTTCCTTTCATCAGAATTCTTTCTCAGAACTCTCAAGAATTGTGAGAAAGGTAAAGAAGCTTTCAACGAATTAAGGTGAAAACTATTGACCAGGTGTAGGATATTGCGATCCGTGGGTTTGGAGAACAAAGTATACACTGTCAGGATATTTATATCGGCAGACATTTTGTGTTATGATAGAAATTAAAAGTGTATATTCTGAGTCACTTTGAACAGAGCCGACTCCATTTTGTTATTTTCAAGTTAACAAAAAGACACAAGATTTCTATCTGTAAAACTAACCACGTTCCCAGAGCTAAAGGAATGCATAGTATATACAAACCAAGTGATAAGGAGAACGGGGGTTGGATAGACTGTCTAAATGCTAATGGAATATAATCAATTCTAAACCCAGACATTTGTGACAGAGAAGATTAAATAATTTAATTTTACTTTCTATATGTATAAGGTACCATTGTAGGGAAAAGGTTAAACTTAGTTCATGATCTGCCATATCAGAAATTATAGCAGGAATTGCGGACACTAAGTCTGGACAAAACAAAGAGAAAACCCTTTGAAGTGAAAAGAAACGTAAGTTATGGTGGTCATTTGAGATAAGCCAAAATGACGTCAAAATAGCCACCAGGAAAAGTTAACTCTTTCCTGGATAGGTATGTTTAGTGGGACAAGACTGCCCTCTATAGATCAAATACCTAAATTGCGATCTGGGAGGTAACCACACCTCTAGTGCTTCTATTGGGTTATCAACTGATGACGTACAGAGAGTCTGGCCCTTTAAAAGTTAGGACAAAGGGAAGACAGGGGGTATGCAAAGGAAAAAGAGGAGAGAGAGAGGAATTGGAAGTTTGGGGACTCCAACTCGGACATGCAGAGAAACCCAGGACAACATCTGAGACTAACACTCTACTCTTAAAACTCTAACACTTAGAATTTTACTGACTTTCTAACCAACACCACCTTTCACCATAACTCATGCACCTACAGACATCCAAATAAGTTCCTGAGACTATCTACCAATCGGATGAAATATCTACTCAACTGGTAATTTTCTGGTTTCATTTAATTAATTAAATTAATTACAATTTACTAATAGCATGATATGACTCGATAAATCACAGTCAGATTTCCATATTAAGAAATCTTAGTTAACTAAAGAATATATAGTTATAAACATTCCATTCTGCAGGTGGAATTAAGAATAATTATATATTAAGGTGATATTATCACATGTTAGCATACCGCTGTTTTTATCCAGGTGTATTGATTTGTTCTAAATTAAGATAAGATATCTTTTAAACAAATTAAAATCTGCTTATATAAATATGGTAGATTCTCTTATTGGATGGTTCCAGGAAATGACTAATGAACTGGTTTAAATGTTATTTTATTTAAAATTACATAAGAATAGATCTTAATTACCAAGGAGATCTAGCCAGCATTGAAAGGGTTATTCTAACTGTTAGCCAGGGTTTTATGGCCCTTCGCTGTGAAAAGCTTTGCTTTCTCTCTGTGTAAGGATACCTCATAAATCGTCAGAAGTCTTGACAGAAAATGCTGTTTAGCCATTGAAACGTGTATAGCCATTCCTTTGTATTGCATACCATTTTATACTGGATATTCATTGATTATTGTCACGCATGTTACATATTATTATTATTAATTAACTTGTTATTATAAAATAAAATCTATTTTTGTAGAGTTGTGATGTTATTTATATGAAATACTTTCCACTTAACACGATAACGATCTTTGGGTCTGAGAATTGAATTAGTGGGCAATTCTCACTGTTTATTATTATTATCCCATAAATATCCCCACATATTGGAGGCACGGTGCTGAGATCGTTTAAGTTGAAATTATATTCCATATACAATAATATTGGTGTAATTCATGCAATTTAATCTTGATATAGAAAAGAGTTTTGTATTGAGATTAAATCAGTATATAGAAATATGGCTGAATCTAGCGCTTCATCTCAATCAGAGAATGGGAAGAAGTTAGCGGAAATACAAGGTTTTCCCTTAAGCATCTTGTTAAGACACCTCCCGTGTCTTTAAGCCAAACCGCCGTTTAGTAAACCTTCCCCGGCTGCAGTACAGTCTCTGTTCGCTTACTCTGTAACCCACGAACCAAATGCAGGGGAAGCGGCAATCTCCCGATCGAAATCCACGAACGGCTCCAAACTCCCGAACGGCAATATACGAACTGCTAGGAACCGTCGAACAATAATATCCCCAAAGCGGCTTTCGTTCCATCCAGCAGTCTCTAAACGTGAAGAAGAAATCCCCCCCAATAACGAGACAGAAGCTCCGCATTGAGGGTCAAATAAGATCTGGGTTTACTGTGGGCTACCTGCCCGTATTTATGCAGGTCTCCCACCTGGTGGACACTCCCCTAGGGGACCAAATGGAAGACTTAAAGTACAGACAGATAGAAGGACATTTCTGACACACAGTCACATAATTTACCCACAGTGCATTCTGATTCCCTCCCCTCTGTCCTGGAGTTAATTACCAAGTAACTCAATTAACTCCAGGACAAGGACAGTCGCCATCTTAAACATGAAATAATAAAAGACACAAAAATGCATAACTACATGAAAACTGAACATTTCCCATTCGTATTACATGTCCCCAGATAGCCTGGGTCTGAGTGCATATTATTGGCGAATAGCGCTCAGATCCCACACACATAGTTCAATCGCCATGGAGTCAAAGTTCTTACAGTCCTTCGGTACACGAATGACTCCATGGGTGGGCTATCTGGGTTAAGTCTTTTGTGTGTTCTCAATCTCCCGAACGGCCGATGTTCGCATGCTTTCGTGGAGGCAGCCAGGCGTTCCCTTGTTTCAGCGGTGTTCGACAGAAAAAGTGTCCGTTTTCCGTTCCATAGAAATAGAGCCAAACACCGCTGAGCGTTCGCATGATTTAAAATGGCCGCTGCCTCGTGGTCGACATACGAACGACGACCACCCTGAGTTCGGTTTAATTGAGAAGTGTCTGCGGTTAACCACAACGTTATAATGGTGATCACTTCGTTAACCTGCAGCACACTCCTCACTTGGGTGGCCGTTCGTTCGGCGGTTTTGTTCGGGAAAAAGAGTCATTCGAATGGCTGGGCTATAGAAACCAGCCATTCATACGAACGGGGACAAACAGACGAACGGGCAAAAATCCAGCAAACAGATGGTTCTGTCACACGGCTCCCTCCTTGTGGGACACTCCGGCAGACCCGGCTTGACCCTGTGGCGGGTCAACTTGGGGATGACCGGACTACGAGGTGATGGAAACGTCTGTTTGTCGTGACAACCCATCTGCGTTTCCGTTTAGCTTACCGGGTCTGTAGCTGATGGTAAAATTGTAGGGCTGTAGTGCCAAGCTCCATCTCAGCAGTCTCCCATTGTCTCCTGAGACCCGGTTAAGCCAAACGAGTGGGTTGTGATCAGTCACAAGGGAAAACTCTTGCCCATACAAATAGGGGCTTAACTTTTTCAATGCCCAGACCAAGGCCAAACATTCCTTCTCCACTGCCGCATAACTCACTTCTCTGGGTAACAACTTTCTGCTGAGATATGCGACAGGGTGCTCTCCTCCATCTTCCCCGACTTGGCTCAGCACAGCCCCCAGTCCATACATGGAAGCATCTGTATGGACGAGAAAGCGTTTGTTAGGGACTGGGGCAGCCAAGACAGGGGCATTCACAAGAGCCTGCTTCAGTGCCTGGAACGCAGCTTCACAAGCCGGAGACCACAGGACCTGCTTAGGCAAGTTCTTCTTCGTCAGGTCTGTCAGGGGCTTAGCGATAGCGCTGTAGTCAGGGACAAAACGTCTGTAGTACCCTGCCGTCCCCAAGAAGGCCAATACCTGGGTCTTAGTAGTAGGTGTGGGCCAGTTAGCCACTGCCTCTACCTTGGCTGGCTCCGGTCTCTGGCTCCCACACCCCACTCTGTGACCCAGGTACTGCACTTCAGCCATACCTAGATGACACTTTTCTGGCTTCAACGTCAGGCCAGCGGCCCTAATCTTATCCAGCACTACCCCTACATGTACCAGGTGTTCCTCCCAGGACCCACTGTAGATCGCAATGTCGTCCAAGTATGCACAGGCAAATTCTTGGAAGCCATCCAGGAGTCTATCCACCATCCGTTGGAAAGTAGCCGGTGCATTTTTCATCCCAAAAGGCATGACCTTAAATTGGTACAGGCCAAATGGGGTGACAAATGCCGACTTGGGGATAGCATCCTCGGCCAGGGGGATC